TCAGAAATTCCTACAAATTTCGTAGGGATTTTGAACAAACAATTTTTTTTTTCAAGGTTTCAACACATTGTCTTTTTACAATTAATAATTTGTACATCTTCATTATACATGAATTGTATTAATTTCACCAACTTATATGTTATATACACATGTATACACGTATTAATTTCACTGACTTATATATTACACTAGGTTATAACCCGTGTGATACACGGATGAAGATAAAAAAAATTATTGTATCTAGAATTGTAAATCAATATTTATATATATAATAATTGGTGTATATTGGTATGTTTATAATGATCATGTATAAATAATGTTTAAAATGGTTAGAATAATTAAATAATGTTAATTTATTCATGATAGCAAAGTAGTTGAAGTTTAGTAAAACAAAATAATTTGATCAAGGTTGCCTGATAATCTAAATAGTCACAATGTGGTTGATTCAAAAAAGTACATTGTTATTGTATAAAGTTACAATACTATCAAATAAAAAGGACATATCTGAATGTGAAAAAGCAAAAAGGAAGAAAAAAAACTAATACTAATAAGAATGAAACACCAAAAAAGGAAGAAAAAAACTACTACTAATAAGAAACAATAAAAACAGAAAAGTAGAGGTCTTTTGTGGTTTCAATGATAATTTTGATTGTTTTGGACAATTTTGTCATTGTAATTTTTTCTTATTCTAATTTGGACCACTTAAATAATATAATATATGTTGAATAAATAGTAACATATTTTTATTGAATTAATTATAACATAAATGCTCTCTGCTTAAGTAATTATACAATTAAAGTCCATTTTGACTATTTGGTCAATTTGATAAATATTAATAGTAATGTATTTTTATTAAATGAATTATAATAGTAATTGTCCCTGGTTAAGTAATTATACCATTTTAGACTTTTTGTAAAGTTGACCATTTTGACAAAAAAATATCTTTTTAGTCATTCGGACCTGTTGAAAAGGAAGAAAAATAAAACTAATACGTATATGAGACGCTAAAAACAAAAAAGTAAAGGGTTTTTTAAAAGACAAAAATGGTCCCTGTTAGGTAATTATACAATTAAATATTGTTTTTAACTTTTTGGTCAATTTGGTAAATTTGATAATTATTAATAGCAATGTACTTTTATTGATTAAATGATAACAGAAATAGTCCATGGTTTGGTAAATATATAAAAAATGACCACTTAAATGACCTATGTTGAATAAATAACAATGTACTTTATGTAATGAATCAAAGTAGAAAATCAATATTTTTTGGTGAAAACGACCATTTATGTGTAATAGCATCCTACTTTTTTTACAGCGAAAAAATGAAAAAAATAATTTTATAATGATATGAAAGTCTTGTAATGGATAACTATTTTTGGAAAAAACAAAAATTTTGATCGTTTAGTGAATAGGGCCATTTGTACTTTTTTTTGTCAATTAGCTGAAATTTATTTAGCTAAACTAAACAACTATTAACAACAATAACAAAAAAGAAGGTATTATGCCCAGCAAAACGACTACATGCTACAACAGAAGAACAACTAAAGAGAATTAACAACTAAAATACAAACAACAATCTGAAACTCCTTATAGTGTTTCTCGGATCCGAATTAAAACCATTCTGAAAATGATATGCATGATTACAATGCCCTCTTATTTCAGGACTTGTAAACACGCACACAAACAACAACAACAACAACAACATAAAATATTAATAAAAGTACCATGCTTAAATACATTATTAAATGAAAGTACAACCAATTTTGGTCCAAGGACAAAATGGTCATTTCAAATAATTAACATCTTGGTTATTAACTTAGATGACTAAATGTGCAAAATTGTTAGTAAAGTTCAATATAAGATCCAAAACTGAATCCTGGTTATTATAGGGACCAAAACCAAAAAAATTCAGGTCAAATTAAGGACTAAAATGCAATTTACTATTAATTCATAAAAACTCAACTGACATTCCTTTCTTTAGATACATCGGCAAGATTTATCAATTATGAAAACAATTGACTCAAAATAAACAATAAGTAAATTTTATGCTCTTGCAAACAATTAATTTATATTAAAACTAATTAAACCAATTTCTTCCTTAGGATTTATCGCAATACACACTCAAGAAATGAAAATAAAAGCAAAAATTGAAAATACAAACTTGGAATTTTCAGTTACTCCACCAATTGAACAATAGTCAAAGCACCTTATTGGGGAGGAAAAGAAGCATATATTATAAAAACCCTAATCTCTCGATAAACCCTCACTAAAATCGTGATGAAAAGTAAACTCAATAATACATAAGAATAAGATGAGTCTTTCTTGAAATCATCAGCCAATGATATTTCTTATTCATCTAACAAAAACACATCCAACCTAAATCATCTACAAAACAATGATAAAATAGTATTGGAAATTAAATTTAGTATGAAGCAATTAATTTACCTTCTTCTCTTCAAGCTTGCTGGGACCAAAAATTTGAAGCCTCTTATTCCTTCTTCTCTCGATAATCCATATCTGATGCATTTCAAACAAAAAATATGATTTGGACAGTCTAATCACACAACCAACTAAAGATGATTTGCATTATGGTTTAGCATATAATTCCTAAATCAAACACATACAATACAAAACCTACAAATGAACCATAAGGTATTAAAATTATAACCAATTAAGCATTGGATCCTTATAACCACCGGACCTTTACAATACAAAACCTACAAATGAACCATAAGGTATTAAAATTATATAAAAATCACCAAATTAAACATTATATCACTATACTATTTTGATCGTTGTCAAAAAAATAACTTCAAATGATAGTATATTAGTTGTAATTGCAATTGGTTGTATATACTAATTAATGGTTCTATTAGGCATTTTATCAAACATGTGATAGGCAAAACAACTTTTCCAAGTTAGCCACATCATGAACTAAAAAAATGACATCCAAAAAAACAGTGCAACATTAATAGTTATACACACGCCGTAAACAGGAAGACGAAGAACTTTGAAACTACCTGAAATCTATGGGTAAAACAGAATAATCTTCAATTTCTTGGCAAAAATCGAAGGCATCTAAAGGCGATTGAAATAAACTTGATGGGTTGAAGGTATATATCATATATGAACAAAAATTCGACATAAATCCAACAAATCTTTAATTACATGAAGCTGAAAGTGAGTTTGTTAGGCTGGAGGTATATATGAATCGGAAGACCTAGCCATCGTTTTTAATCTTGGATATGATAACAACTCCTGATTTCTTGCCTATTGTAAATGAAATTCAAATCTTTTTGTTGATTTATTGGAATAATCATATTGTCATAGAATAATATTGGTATATCAATTCAAACGTCAATGTAAAGCATAACTATTAAAGCTGAAGCAGAAGGAGGGAAATTCATTTTCGTATTTTAAGCGGGAAAAATTGATTGGGGAGGGCTTAGGAAATGCCACCTGGCAAAAATCTACTTATTTATTAGATTAGGATACACATGTATACGTATGCACCATCGAAACTAACTGCTCAACATATGTTTCTCTCATTCGAAATATATCTATATCTACGTGTATGTATATGTGTATATTTATTAGTGTATAATTATGTCTTTTGTATACACATACACGTCCATTTATGTATAGAGATTAATAAGTTATTGTTTGTGACTAATGTGTGTGTGTATATATATATATATATATATATATATATATATATATATATATATATATATATATATATATATATATATATATATGGGAAAAGTGAATATACCCTTAACGATATATAAACTTAGGTACCCAAACTCACTATACTACATCGTTTTATATCATATAATACATTCTAATTGTCCAATGTTCTTATAATATAACTTCTAACTTGATTTACTTCCAAGATTTTATAAGTTACACATTTATCTTCATCTTACATAATTTCCATTTTCAACTACAATATATATAACTTATTAGGTGTTCGGCAAAAAGATGTGATGTACGAGAATGATAATAGTGAAATATCGAATATCTTGAAAGCAAATCAAGTTAGGGTTGAAGTTTAACAATATTATAATAAATATATCAAACGAAACGAGGTATTATGGTGTGTTTGGGTACCTAAGTTTATATACCCTTAAGGGTATATTCACTTTTCTATATATATATATATATATATATATATATATATATATATATATATATATATATATATATATATATATATATATATATATTAATTAGATAAAAAGTTTTTATGCATTTTTGAGGAAAACTAGCGAATCTAGATAATTATATGGATTGAAATAATAACGGGATGAATCTGATTTTGAATGGTGGTAGATGCAATTTCTTTTATTAAAAAAAAAAAAAAAAAAAAAAAAAAAAAAAAATTAACCTAATATATGCTAGGAATTTGGGAGGGATTCACGAGGAAAACTATTTAACATGATTTTTATAAAATCCCTCCAAAATACATAGGAACTTTTGAGAAAAAGAGAATATTAGGAGATTTTTTTAGGAATAAGTCTTTTCTAGTAGAGAAAGAGGTCGTTGGTCTGACCTAAACCTAAGGATGTTTGGCTTAAATCGTAAATGATAGGGATAATGATTTAGGAGGGTAACTACCTATTAGTGTTGTTCACATATTGGCAACTTGTTTTTTTTTTTTTGTACCTAATACACCAACTAACTTGTTTTAACCGTTTACATTATAACATTATTACCGGCTAACCTCCATTTTAACCGGTAAATGCAATTAATTCATTTAAATGAAAAAGAAAAGAAAATACATGGCTTATGATGTGGCTATTTCACCCTTTGTCTGTATTCGACTTCATTTAAACATATCGGTCTAATTTATTTAGGGTTCTTAATCTTAACAACTACTCCCAAATCATTCCCCAAATCGATCCCAGTTACTTAAGTTTTCTCCGAATTCAGTCGATCGAAGCAGTAGGAACTGAAGTTGGGACTTGAAATCGTTTAACGATACGTATCTCACTACAATGGAAACATCTAACGGTAAGTATCTCACTATAGATTTTCACTTCAACGGCATGTTTGCACCAAACCCGTTAGTGTACTTAGACCCTATGAGAATGTCAGTTCGTGGTGTGGATTTTGGTGGCATGGACTATAGAGAATTTGTGTTGTGGGTTTCAAAGCTGATAAGACGAAGCTGTGAGAACTTGTACTATTGTAGTACTCATGAAAGATTGGCAGAGGGTATCAGAAGAATCGACAATGATGCTGACTATTTTGAGTTTATTGAGGATGGTTACATGGATAAGCAGGAGCTAAGGATGAATGTGTACATTGACCACGAAAACGAACCCATTCTTGATTGGGCCGATAAGGAGTTGTTAACAGGTGATGAGTTGTCTAATGTAATAAAAGATGATGATACAGAGTCACAAATTTCAGATATAAGGGAATGTGGGCATTAATCTGATGAAGAGGTGCATACATTTGACAAAACAGATGATGATGAATTCTTGAACAAGTTGTGTGGTAAACCCATTCTCAATAGTAATCAAGAAGAAGTAAATGATGCTGATGATGATGATGAGGATAGGGATAAATATGATGAGGTTGTGTTCCCTATCTTTGATGAGAAGCAAGAATGGGATAAAATGGTCCCAGTTTGAGGTATGAAGTTTGCCAACCCTCTTGAATTGAAGAAGCTTTGTCTAACCAACTATGCTGTCAAGAATGGGTATGACTTATGGTTTGAAAAAAATGATCATCAAAAGCTGTTGGTAAAATGTTGTAAATATAAGAAGAACAAGAAGAGTAAGTGTTGTCCCTTTAGGTTGTAGACAACCTGGATGAAGAATGAGAGGTCTTTTCAGATTAAGTCATTAATTGATAGGCATAATTGTGCAAGAGTTTTCAAATTTGGGTCCATTGTAAGCTACAAATGGATTGGAACTCATTTCATGAATGATATAATACAGAAAACAAAGATGAGCATTAGGAAATTGAAAGCTAAGGTCAGTAAAAGGTTTAACCTGATAGCTAGTGTTGGAGAATGCAGAAATGCTAGGAAATATGCATTTCAGCAGATAGAAGGTACTTTAATAGAGCATTATGCTAAAACATGGAGTTATGGAGAAGAGCTAAAAAGGACAAATCCTAGATCAATAGTTAAGATGGAAGTGGCTGTGATGCCTGATGGAGAAACATACTTCTCAAAGTTTTATGTTTGTTTAAAGGGTTTGAAGGATGGATGGATAGAGGGTTGTAGGGCGGTAATTGGAGTAGATGGTTGTTTCTTAAAGGGAATATGCAGAGGTCAGTTGCTTGCAGCCATTGGGAGGGATGCAAACAACCACATATATCCTGTTGCATGGGCTGTGGTTGCAGTAGAAAATAAAGAATCATGGAAGTGGTTTCTTGATCTTCTAATTGATGACATTGGAATGGGAGTTGGGCATGGACTAACCATAATATCAGACCAACACAAAGTAATGTTCACACTTTAATTATTGTTATTTTCCACACTTATTTTACATACTTAATATGTTTTTGCTTATGCTGTTTATGTTTTGATTATAGGGATTAGTTGAAGCTGTGAAGGAAAGGGTTCCAGCTGCAGAGCATAGGCAATGTGCTAGGCACATATGTGCTAATTTCCAAAAAAGATTTAAGGGGAAAATGTTTAAGAAACTGTTTTGGAGAGCTGCTGGATCTACAGTTCCACAAAAATTTGAATACCATATGAATGAAATCAAGAAGCTGGAGCCACTAGCTTATGCACATTTGATGGAAAGGGACCCTAAAACATGGTGTAAAGCATTTTTTTCAGGTTGATAAGAGTTGTGATGCATATGAAAATGGTGTTTCTGAAAGTTTTAACTCTATGATTGAAGCTGCTAGGAAGAAACCACTTATTACCATGTTAGAAGAAATCCGGATTTATGTAATGGAAAGGTTGTGTATATACAAGGCCAAGGGTCAATCTTGGGATTTAAGCATATGTCCTTCTATAAGGTTGAAGTTGAATAGGCACAAGGAAACAGAAAGGTAAATTCTTATTGCTTATATGTTTGTTATTTTTAATATTTTCTAATTTGTGTATGAATATGGATAGGTTTTGGCAAGTGGTACCTTCTGGGTATATGCAATTTGAGGTGAGGGTAGGGACTGAAGGGTATGCTGTAGACCTGAATACTAGGCAATGTGGATGCAGGGCATGGCAGTTAGCAGGGTATCCCTATGTGCATGGATATGTTGCCATTTCTAGCCTCAATAGGGACCCTGAGGAGTATGTGTCAGAATGGTTTACTACATCAATGTATGCAAGTTGTTATAGGTATAACATTAGGCCACTAAACTGTAGTGCTATGTGGCCTGAAGTGGATTACACCAAACCATTGCCCCCTAAAAAAAGAAGACTACCTGGAAGACCAACAATGAAAAGGAAAAGGGATCAGGTTGAGAGAAAAAGCTAAAGGAACAAGGCATACAGTCTCAAAAAAGGGAATGATCATGAGATGTACCATTTGTAGGGAAAGAGGACATAATAGATCAACATGTCCTCAAAGACCAAATGATGTACCATCTACTTCAGGTTCTAACAAAAAGAAACCTAAGAAACAAGGTATGGTGTTAAATTATCTAATATATTATACTTGTGTGCCATTTCTGATTTTTTTCCCCCATTTACAGGTAAAGTAGACCTTGAAGCTGAATTGGAAGTGGAACATGTTGTCATGTTTGAAAGTGAAAGTGATAGTGACTTTGAAAGTGAAAGTGATGTGGAAGCTAATGTTCCTGAAGTTGATGTTCCTGAACCTGATGTGGAAGCTGAAGTTGATGTTCCTAAAGTTTATGTGGTACCTGAAGTTGAAGTTGATGTTCCTTTAGTCCAAGATAACCTTGTAGGGGAGATTCAAGATGACATTCAAGTTGATGCTAACATAGAAGATGAGATTCAAGCTAACATTGAAGTGGAACATGAAATTGAAGTTCAAGATAATGTGGAACATGATATTCAACACAATGTAGAAAATCAAGTTAGGAACAGGACAAGAAAAACTTCAGAAAGACTCACAAAGATTCAGTTAAGGAAGAACATAAGGAGGAAGGAAGCATTACTAACCACCCACTGGAGATTTGAATTCAATGTGTTGTTTTATTTTGCATGTTTTGGAATCTTGGGTCTTGTAATATCATTTGGCACAATAGGACAAACTTGGCACATCTTTGGGAATGTTTTGATACTTTAACATCTTGGGTCCTGTATGTTTGGGAATATTTTGGTACTTTAAGTACATGTTAATTTAAGTACATGTTTACCCTCCCAAGTCATTAGGGGTATTTTGGTACTTTAAGTACATGTTAATTTAAGTACATGTTTACCCTCCCAAGTCATTAGGGGTATTTTGGTACTTTAAGAACATGTTAATTTAAGTACATGTTTACCCTCCCAAGTCATTAGGGGTATTTTGGTACTTTAAGTACATGTTAATTTAAGTACATGTTTACCCTCCCAAGTCATTATCCCCTGATTTAAGTACATGTTTATTTATGTGTTTGTATACATTACATGTTTACTGTCTTAATACATCAAACTCCCAAGTTACATGTTTACTGTCTTAATACATGTTTATTTATGTGTTTGTATACATTACATGTTTACTGTCTTAATACATCAAACTCCCAAGTTACATGTTTACTGTCTTAATACATGTTTATTTATGTGTTTGTATTCATTACATGTTTACTGTCTTAATACATCAAGTATTAAACATCAAACTTTAGTCATAACTTTCATTGCATACAAAACTTCATGAAGTACATGATTTAGTCAGAACACATCAAAGAAGAATACATCAAACAAGAGTACATCAAACAGGATACAAAGAACACATCAAACTTTAAAAAATACATGTTTAACATAAAAGAAAAATAACACAAACAATGCAGCTTTATGAGTAAACAACTTCCACTTCACTTTGTCCAGTTCTTGTCTGAAAACTAAATTAGAGTTCTCCTATTCTTCCAACTTCTTCCTGCAATAACTAATTTCGTTTTCCAAATTTCCAAGCTTGAATGTTAGGTTGTAGATTTATCCCAAATCACTGTTCTTCTATTGTTGGTACTCATCGTCTTCCAACCATTCCAAGAAATTACATCTTGGAGTTCTTGCACTCTTCATGAAAGAATAAAAAAAATTGAAGAGAAGATGAAGAAGAAGATTCAGTTCCGGGTTGAATAAATAAAACATATTTACCAAAGAATTTTGACAAACTCGAAATTTTCTTCTTGGATTGTCGGGTGTTCTTGAAATCTTCACACGAGATGGCATGTCGCACTTACATGGATGGTCAGCTTGGAGTTCGAAATTTCGTTTGGAAGAAGCAGATGAAGCAGAAGAAGAAGCCATTGTCGATCTAGGGCTTCAACGGCAAACACCCTCTATATAATAAGTGAGGTGTAAATAGACACGTAACATGCCACGTATAATCTTCTGGAGCCACATAGTTTCTTTTCCTTTTCATTTAAATGAATTAATTGCATTTACCGGTTAAAATGGAGGTTAGCCGGTAATAATGTTATAATGTAAACGGTTAAAACAAGTTAGTTGGTGTATTAGGTACAAAAAAAACAATGTAACAAAGTAAATTTTAAAACAAAATTTTTCATTTTTGCAAACGGCAAAAACCATCGTTTAATATTCCAAATTCAAACGTGAACAATGTTATCATAACAAAATACATCCCATGATCATAAAACCAGTTCCTCCGTCATTGTATACAATCACGCCGACGCCTTCCCACGGTCCTCGCAAGTACCTGAAACACATAACACAACAACTGTAAGCATAAATGCTTAGTGAGTTCCTAAAATACTACCTACACACATACGCCTTTCCAGGCCCTGACCTTCCGGTCCGTGTGTCTCAGGAGACTTCCGTCCCGACTCGGTAAACTTTCCGGTCCTACCTGCATCAACCTTACGGTCCACATCACAACGCCTTCCAGCCCATAACATATACACCTTCCGGCCTATAACATAATGCCTTCCGGCCCATATCAAGCATGTCATACATAGCACATAGAACGATTAACTTAACATATACACTGCATATAACTCACAACATACCCGACCTTCCGGTCACACAATAAAAACCCTTCTGGGTATAGTATAGTGAGAAAACTCACCTCGTGGAAAGTGTAGAATCTCGTATACTTGCTATCTCCAAATCCCAACGACGACTCTACCTCGCCTAAACATATTAAAAATCATTTTCATTATTAAATACTTCAATAACTAGACTTTACTCCTTATCATCATTCCCCTGAGGGTAAAAGACCATTTTACCCTTCCTTGACTCAAAGTCTTCATGTTGACCAAAACCCTAAAAGTCAACAAAAAGTCAACCTTTTGAGTACACGGGGCGTACTGCTTGCTGTAGGCGTGGCGTACATCGCCAACCCATGGATCGGGGTTTCCAGCGTACTGGGAGTAACGCCCAGCGTAACCATCAGACTTTAGCATACATCATTTCTGGTCTTAATCGGTTAAGCCATTACTCCGACTTTTAGATCCGACTTTATTTATGCATCTTTACCCATAAAGTCGAAACCTTTAAGCCTTGGCATGGGTGTAAAGGCTCCTACACTCCTTAACATCATTCTATTCCAACTCAAGGATCTAGATCTCATGCATGGTGCAACATTCACGTCCAAGATTACATTTTTATGAGTCTACAACTCAAATAGACCAGAAATATGATGGATCTAAGCTTATGGAGACCATTTGCTCAAAAATTCTCCACCTTTGGGACTAAAACCCTAGAAAATGGTACTTAAGGCATATTACAAGAACTATATGTCATGATCCGAACTTTTTACCTTATAATGAAGCTTCAACTTTTGCAAAGCTCAGATCCACACTTGAACACCACTTCTAGTCTTCCCAATGAGCTCTTCTTCTCCTTTGCTACCTTGAAATGGCACCACGAAGCTTAGAATACTCACAAATGGCCTAAGAAAAAATGCACACTCTCTTTAGGGTTTCTTTCTAAGGGATGGTGGTTGAGGAGTCGAGCCACACATCCCTTTTATAGCCATCCGAGATAATTAGGGTTTTTAGGTCTGGGCCGGTTACGCCTAGCGTAACCTTGGGTACGCCCAGCGTACCCGAGGGTGAACGCATCCAAATGAAGCGCGCGAGTACGCGCAACGTACTCCTTGTATGCCCAGCGTACTCGCATAACATGCAAACCCTAAATGGCAACAAATCAAAGATGAAGGGCTAAATAGAATGGTACCTGGATATCGGGCTATTACAATTCTGCCCCACTAGAACCAGACATCGTCCATGAAGTCTCACACTGAAAACAATTCCGGATACTGATCCCGCATCTCAGTCTCGGACTCCCATGTCAGCTCGGACCCCTTCCGATGTTGCCACTGCACTTGTACCAAGGGTACTTCCCTTTTCCTTAGAACCTTAACCTTTCGATTCCTGATCACCACTGGTCTCTCCACACAGTTCAGGCCTGCATCCACCTGAATATCATCTAATGGCACCACTGCCGACTCATCGGCAATACATTTCCTCAGCTGTGAGATATGAAAGGTGTTGTGGATCTATCCCAACTCAGTAGGTAGATCCAACCGGTAGGCTACCCTGCCTACCCTAGCAATTACCCTGAAAGGTCCAATATATCGGGGTCCCAACTTGCCCCTCTTCCTGAATCGTATCACTCCTTTCCAAGGAGATACCTTTAAGAGCACAAGGTCACCAACCTGAAACTCGAGCTCGGACCGATGCCTGTCCGCATAACTCTTCTGGCGACTCTGCGCGGTCAACAATCTCTGCCTGACCTGCTGTATCTGCTCAGTTGTCTGATGTACAATCTCCGTGCTACCCATCACCCGCTACCCCACCTCTCCCCTGCAGATGGGGGTGCAACACCTCCTCCCAAACAACAGCTCAAAGGGTGGCATACCAATGCTCGAATGATGGCTGTTGTTGTACGAAAACTCTGCTAAGGGTAAATAGGTGTCCCAACTCCCCCCAAAATCCAAAACACATGCTCGGAGCATATCCTTAAGCGTCTGGATCGTTCGTTCGCTCTGTCCGTCCGTCTGCAGGTGGTATGTGGTACTGAAATGCAGCCTCGTACCCAACTCCTCATGAAACTTCTTCCAAAACCTGGAAGTAAATCGTACATCCCGATCTGAAACGATCGACATCGGAACCCCATGCCGCGATACCACCTCCCTGACATATAACTCTGCCACCTTCTCCGCAGAAGAGCTCTCACTGATGGCTAGAAAATGAGCGCTCTTCGTCAATCTATCCACAATCACCCAAATTGCATCGACCCCCCTTGCAGTCCTTGGCAATTTTGTGATAAAATCCATGGTAATCTGTTCCCACTTCCATTCGGGAATCTCCAGCGGCTGCAATTTACCGTGCGAACGCTGATGCTCGGCCTTAACCTAACGACAAGTCAGGCACCTCTCGACGAACCATGCAACATCCCTCTTCATAGAGGGCCACCAATACTCTTTCTTTAGGTCCAAATACATCTTAGTATCCCCGGGATGAATCGAGAATTTCGATCGATGCGCTTCCTCCATCAAAATAGTACGCGTACCTCCCACAAACGGTACCCAAATCCGACCCTGAAAAGTCATAAGTACCCGTCCATCTGTAACGAATTCCGATACCTGACCGACAACCCGCTCCCTCTTCTGGTTTTCTAGTATCGCAGCCTCAGCCTGAGCTCCTCGGATGGTGTCCAAAATCGGAGTCATCACCATCAACCTCATACAAATGTCTTGGATCGGGGTGCTTTCCGCCCTACGGCTCAACGCATCGGCCACTACATTCGCCTTGCCCGGGTGGTACAGGATCTCACAATCATAATCTTTCACCACATCCAACCATCTCCTCTGTCGCATATTCAGATTTGGTTGATCCATCAAGTACTTCAGACTCTTGTGGTCCGTGTATATGGTACACCGAACCCCATAAAGATAGTGCCGCCAGATCTTGAGGACAAACACCACAACCCCTAATTCCAGGTTGTGGGTGGGATATCTCGACTCATGAGGCTTTAACTACCTCGAAGCATACGCTATAATGTGTCCCCTCTGCATAAGCACCGCCCCTAATCCAGATATAGATGTATCACAGTATACCACAAAATCCTCCATCCCTTCCGGGAGTGCAAGCACCGGGGCCTCGCACAATTTCTAACGAAGGA